TAAAAACTCCTTTGAATCTAAGTGAATGTTGTATAAAAATAATTTTCATGAAAGAATTTCATTTTATTATTTACGACATCCGGTTCTATGGCTTAATGCATTTTTTCTGCTTTGTTGGTTTCTAGTTTCAACTACTTATTGAGAAAACATAATTAACTTACAATATCTATTTATCTATTTTTTAAACCACAATTTCATTTATTCGAATTAAAAATAGATTTTTTATATTGAACGCACCCAAAACAATGAACATTAAATAAGCTCAAAAAATTTAATCGTTCATATAATCACTATAGTTCTTAATCTAGTAAATAAATTTAAATAACTTGTATCCGCTTATTAATCAATTAGCCAACAAAAATTAAATATGAAAATTTATACGTTTATACTGAAAAAAATGTTTGTGTTTAAATCCCTACTAATATTATAAATGCGAAAGTAACTCTGTCTGTCTGTCTGTCTGTCTGTCTGTCTGCTACGCTTTCACGCCTAAACCACTGAACTGATTTTAATGAAATTCGGTACAGAGATAGAGTTGACCTTGAGAAAGAACATAGGATAGTTTTTATCCCAGACTTTTGAAAGGTTCTCTTGGAAACGCGATATAACCGAACTCCACGCGGCGAAGCTGCGGGCGGAAAGCTAGTTAATAAATAAATTCATATTAATATAGAAAGTCTATTTATAGATAATATTAATATTTATTCTGACATTGCCATCAAGACGTTATCTTTCTATTTCACATGACCTTGTTGATGTCAATATTTTAATTACACAGATAATATATTAAATGGCCTTTATCGTTATTTACAATTATATTTATAGTTAGAAAGTTAGATGATAGAAAGGAAAATAATATACATACATAATAAGAGTATTTAATTATTTTATTACTATATTTGAATCTTTGAATGTTTTTTTTTAAATAAATGAAGTTCACAAAAGAGGTTGCATCAAATCTTCGATAATGAAATCAAACAGCCGATGTGCTTAAAAAAAAATCAAACAAAAATACTGTTAATTTATTATTATTAATTATGTATTCATCATCCAATTATATTGAACCTAATTCACGATTTATTTTTTTATTATTATTAATTGAATGCACAATACTATAGACCGTGGTCATTCAACCATCGCGTTATATAATCTGTTACACGCGTAATGTTCTTAAAAACATTAACTGGCGTTATTAACACAATTTAATTTGGCAATATATTAACGAATTATTGGCAATTGCTTTGAGATTATGCTAATTTGGACCTCAATTTAATGTTATTTAAGTCTAATTTACTATGTATAATATAATCTTTTGTATGTGTGCGTTATGTCACTATGTGTTACTGCTTGTATAAAAAAACAATAGTTTTTTAAATCCTTTGTTTAATATAAGTAATTATTATTGTGACATAGAAATATTTTAGTTTCGTAATAATTTCTAAGACATGGTTTTATATAAAAAGCTTGTTTGCGGTTATATTTCGTTAAGGTGGCATTTCACTTGGCGTTGCATATTCGTCGCATTTGTCCAAATATTTGTACGTAGTCCAAATAACGCAAACACGACATCCACACTTGGCGTATCAACAACAGGTCTTTATGCGTTTTCTATTATTAGTGTATGTGTCTTATTTGTGCAAATATGTCAAATGTAGACGAATAAATTTCCACACTTGGTCTTATTTGGCCGAACAACAAATAAACGCCAAATGAAGTTATTATCTTATATTTTTATATATAGTTCGTGGTAATTATAGATTTTATTAAAGTTTCTACATAAAATAACAGAGAAATTTTTCTCATTATTTATTAATATATAATTAACCTATATTTTGTATAGAATTTTTAAAATTCATTTATCTTGACGTAATGCTGTTGAAACTTGAAATTTTTACATGCGAGCAACATTGGAATATTTAAATAGATAAAATTATTAATAATTTTAGTTAAGTATGAATCGGGACGTATTTGGATAAAACATATATTTATAAACAATATATAAACGAATAAAATTCTCGCTTTTTTTAGTATAAATGAAATAAAAAAAGAAATATTATTTTATGAATATCGGATTTTTTGTTAAATTTTATAGTTTTTTGTATTCCTTTCACTGAAACTCTCACAATTACTTCTTGTCCACGATATAGTTGAAGAAACGAGCCAAGATATCTAATAAGTATTTAAATTTGACAATACACTAGCTATTACTTCGTATATTTTCTTTGGTAGATAAACAAAACTTTTACAATTCAAAAAAACAGAATACACAACACGTTCATTTATTTAAAAATCATTCTTTTTTAATTTACTAACTTTCTGTTTAATTTAAATTATCTCATCATTTTTTTCTCATCTCGTCAATCTATGAGATAAACTTATAAAGAATAATTATTATTCTCCAATAGCTAATTGTGATTCTAAAGTATTATTACAAAATTTACAAGACAGGTCAAAGTTTGTTGATAGATACATTTATAGATACATAGATATAAAAAATAAAAGTACTTTTAAGATTTAAGACTAAACCTATACAACTTTCATAGTGTATTGAGGAATAATATTTAAAAAATATACTTATTTTAAATATTGTCATTATTAAAATATCATTATTATTAAAAGTAAAGGAAAATAATAAAAATGTACAGAGATCCAAACGCGATTCTTTATTGTATCCATAACAAAATATCAAAATACTTATAATAATGTAATAATATAATAACTTTATTATAATATAATTAACACTTATATTTAATTTAAATTGATTATAAAAGAATAAATAAGCTGAAACAATGGTATTATGATTTAATGAGAAAAAAATCCAGAACGTTCTCGAAATGGCGTCTATGTTTGACGTTAATAGTTGAAAAATTGTGTCAATTTGACACAATCGTGATTTTCAACCAAATTACTGATACTATCTTCTTCTTCTATATATATAAAAATGGATTGCTGTTCCTTAGTCTCGCTAAAACTCGAGAACAGCTGAACGGATTTATCTTATCTTAGTCTTGAAATGTTCGTGGAGGTTCAGGGAAGGTTTAAAAGCTGAAAAAAATCGATTAATTTCTGGAAAAACCATAAAAACAGCGCTTTTTTATTTTCCATACAAACGGTTTTTTGACATTAGATTTGACAACTAACTAATATGTCAATCATTCTGTCGCACTTCAAAACACGGAGATTTATGGCTTACAGGTAAACTTCAAAAATATAAATAAAAAAACGTAATAGATATTTCTTGATTATAGGGCGATACGAAGTTCGCCAGGTCTTCTAGTTTAGATATATTTTTTATGTAGCATAGCTTTTATCTTGAAGTTTTTGGTTACGTAAGTTAATTAGCATTCTTAAGTTTTACTTTCATAAAATAATCTATTCTTACTATTTTTTTCTTTAGTGTTCTTGACGCAGAACTATATTTGCATTTTGTTTTACATTATTCCAAAAAGTATAGAGTAAAATAATTAATTAATATATAACTTTCACGTCCATATAAAATTAAAGGGAATTTTACACTTGTTAGTTAAAATTAATAAACTTGACCCCGTTTTAATATTACTAGTATTAGTAGGTACGACTGTTTGACCTTTGCATCGTAGCAATTAAAACAAAATAATTTGCCAATACTTTCCAGATGACTGCCTTTAATCATATTAAGCTGAAATTTGAGCCGATTTTCGTTTATCGGTCAATGTTTTTTTTTATAATCGAATTCCTATACACGTATTTTATTGTTATGCATGTAGAAATAATCCAGTGTTGCCAGTCGAAATATCACTACGTAATTACATACTATCAAAGTTCAGAGGTTGTATAGGATTTATAATCGGTGTATTTATTATCTGTAAATAAAAATAGAGGTCGCACAAGCAAATATTGATCATGATTTGAACTCACGTATTAGTCTAATTAATGATTTGTGGTCAAAATATATCATGTCAAGGTCAATAACCTCACGCGCTATTTTGACAGTATTATTTTTTTAGTAATTAAGTAATACGATGTGTTTCCGTAAACAGAAAATAATCAGTTCCTTATTATTATGTTTTTCTGTACTATAATATTATTGGTAATCCACAATTTATATGATTATCAAGTTTGAAGTAATAGCTTAGGAAAGAAAGATGATTTGAATTAATTAATATTAATATATGCTAATAAGTAGATAATATAAAATTTAAATATATTTGTTTAAATTTATATGCAATATGTATGTATATCTTATTTTATTTTTAAAACGGGTTCCCAAATCGGCTGTATGTTTTGTCACAACGCCCCATGATGAAGCCGTGACATAAAAAAATCGATCTGTCAAGGTGAACTGGGATCAAAATAACTTTCCATGTCGAAGGTCCAAAAAAAACAAACATTCTCTCAAAAAAAAACTTATAATAAAAAATTACATGAAGATGCAGTAGCATCATTGTGCTTATAGAAAATAAATATATATAAAAGCGGAAATCTGTAGTTAGTCTATTTACAGATACATAGCTTAGATTTCGTCTACTTATATCAAGTAGAAAGCAAGCGATTACATTTAAATGTCTTATACCGCTAAGGGCGCTACAAAATCACAACGACGTAATAAAACTATGATAATAAAAAACTTATACTATCTGACATGGCGCGACTGACTTATTATTACTTAAGAATTAAATATAATTAATTAATATAACTTATAAGGACGGTTTAAGTTGCGCTTCGTGGCGTCCCTTTCACCGTGAAGATAGTTTAATAAACAACGCGGTTAAACAGACATTGAGTCTAACGCAGTACGTCGATGTTGTTTAATGAGTTTTGTGCACAACTCATACGTACATGAAAACTCACGCGCATACCATAATAATAAATATAATAAATAACTTAATATAAAACCTAACGAGCGATCACAATACCAGGTAACTCTATATAACACGCAAACTTCCTCGTAAAAAACCGTGTTGCAACGTGAAAGGCGGTTATCCAATGATTAGAAAGGTGTCACGGTTGGCGGGAACTTTCTAGCGCGAATACAACGCGAGGTCTGATATCCGTCGTTGGCGGGACGCGGCGTGGAAGCCTCTAGTGCCGTCTGGGACTACTGGAGCGCGTGGTTCAAACCGCGGGGTGCAAGAGAGCCTTCGCCCCCCACATTCAGTCCCCGATAAAGAGCACCCTGACAGCCTCCTAGCTAACCAACCCTCACTACTCGCGCTGCCAGTACTAGCTTGAGAAGCTCGCCTCGACCCACAGAAGAAAGACACTCCTGAATCAGAACTATGACTGCAAGTGGACTGTCTTCGCGGCACCCAAGTCTGTATTTCAGCCGGTCGCGGCGCGAAGAAACCGCTAGAGTTTCTTCTATAAAACGGCGTCCCATAATTCCTGTACTCAAACTCAGGTTCGGAACCACTACAGCATGATGAGTATTCGCATTCATGACGACGCGGTGCCGGTCTACGAGCTGGAGCCTTCCTCTTCGGCTCGCGAGGGACTCCATTCAATTCGTACACTTTCATACCTTCTTCATCAGATGTCTGTAAACGTAGCGCGCCCCTAGCAGCTTCAGATTCGGTAAACTCAACTAGAGCACACACACAATTAACTAGACTGGGATTCTTGTTTAGGAATTGACGGACGTCGGCTGGAACTGGATTTCCAGGGCGAAGAACTCGTACTAGGGCGATCTCACCACAACTAGCGAATAATCTAGACACATTTTCTACTGTAGGACGGTCTATGGGCATCCTGACTGCTACCACAGTCCTAGACGGAGTAGTTTCATCATACGCTGGTAAAGGATCAGTTCTTCGCAGCTTCGTTCCAGGCTCATTAATCTCCAATTTAGTAGACCTCTTCAGCGCTTCAGCGACCACTCGCCAATCCTTGGTTAGATGCTTGACACGTTTGAAGCTTGAAATCAGCTTGAGGGAGACGTATCCTTCTTTATTGCGACGTACGTGTTTTAAGAGGAAGGCGTCTTTAGTTATATTTGCATCCGAGAAGTAGAACTCCACTTGGGACACGATTCTATTGGCTAGTTCTTCGTCTGGCGGGGTGTATGGAGGTTCCTGTGTGTCCGGGGCTACTTCGCATCCAGAATCTTTTCCTCCCGAACCAGTTTCCGAGGCTGTGTCAGATAAATCGGCGTGTTCATCTGTAGAAGGGCGGCGATCGGTTGTAATTCCTTCGTCCGGCTCAGACATAACGCTGGGAGGAGTCACCTCCATATTTTTATTATATCAACAAACTACCATTTACGTGCGCACCACACGACAGCGCGAATCGACTGCGGGCGCGCGGCGTTTTGACGTTGGTTTTATAATATCGGTGATGCGGTAAAAGGAGCTCGGAAATGAAATGACATTGTAGACTGAGAGACGCTTTATACAAGAAGTGATCTCAAACATACAACACGCGTTACGACGAATATATTAAGAAACACGTGATCGGAACTACACATAGTTTAATACAGAGAAAGATCTAAACTATATTGACATAACAATCATATCATTATCATATAATATAAATATGATATAAATACCACAATCATAATAATGTCGTCAATATATTATCATAATATCAAAACAATTGAAGTATAACTTGCGTTCAAAGTCCGCTTCAATAGACAAATGTAATTGATACCAGCTACTTATAATTATCAATAAATTCTGAATCATTTGCTATCCAACTGAAGATTTGTTTTCATTCAAACAAAACAAAATTATTTATAAAAACAATTGAATTTTACAGAAACTTTGATGAAATATCGTTTATTCGTAAATCCAGCGAAAATAGAACCTGATTTTCAGGATCATTCGGTTAAATTAGGTTTCTAGATAACATTGTTTTCTTTATTATTTACAAATAAATAATAATCAAAGAAGTGATTCGCATAACCGATTAAGTATTGTCAAAGAAATTCAGGTATTGGGGTCGTTTATAGGGTTGGCGATTTAGATATTAAAACAATCTTATAATTTACATTAATTTTATAGTCAAAAAAAATTTCGATAACCATAATATTTCTATGAGAGATACATACATATATACATGTTAATTATAAATTAATCCTGATGCATACAAATACTTTTTAGACGGAATTAAAATGTATTGAATATTTTAACATATGCGGTACCTCAATAATATATTTGTATATATATGTATATATTATCTGTATGTTTTTTTAATCTGTGACAATCCTAAGCATATTGTCTATAAAACAATAGAATAGTTGAAGTTATCGTGATCGGAGTTAAATTTTATGTTAAAATATTATAATAACATCCATTATACGATATTATTTTTCATATTCATAAATATAATACATTGATCATAAAAAAATCATTCCGAGATTTTTATTACGTTTAAAAACTGTTTAAATCATATTTTCAAAATAAAATACGTTTAAATTTAATAAATCTCTGTATTAAAATACATTTTATTAATAAGAAAGTTCGTGACAAAATTATTTGTAGTAAATAAAAGGCAAAATTATTAATTTTATAATTTACTATTAAAGTACCACAGAACAACTTACAATACTTTCATATCTACCACATTAACAAAAATAATAAATCATATTGGAACTTAAAACGCTTATATATTAATATAAAATGATAGTTAATAAAATAATGTTTTTCCATATATTACACCTTAAAATGGGTAAAAGTATTAATTATTTACTTGAAAATAATTTAATTTTATACATATAAAGGAATCTCGTCATTTCAACATTTTTAGTTATTTAGGATTAAAATATAAAGAGATTTTTTTAGTGTATATATTCTGTAAGATTTTTTTGACAATATTTGAGATTTATAATCTGTTCATTTAAAACATACTATCATTTTTATTCTCATAGATAATAAAATTTTGTAAATCCGGTTGATTTATATATTTCTACAACTTATTTCGTTAAAATTGTTAAAAATTTAAAAATTAGATTTAATAAGGAAGATTTATTTTCATTTTTCTATTGTATATACTTATTACTTAAGAGACGAAACCTCTCATCATTCAATGTATTCACGGTGCGTGTGTCGGGTCCATCGTTGTAGTGAGAGGAGCTTCAACAGTGACTGGGACTTGTGACCCAGGTGTAGGTTTAAGGGACCCTATCTAACGCGTTAAACGTTTATTACGAATTCTGAGACCTATATTTTATCACGCCAACCTAGATTTCGAACTTAGACCCACACAGGGAATTGAATAAGCAATTTAATAGACAACTCACACATTTTAACATATCGATTTATTTTAACAAATACCAACAATATTTGTCCTCTAAATGCCTCAGACGTAATAAGCACACCTACTTTTTAACGCCAACACGTGGTTAGAAGGCTTCAGTAGACGAAGTGACGAAACATTTGCAGTTAATAACATTATCTATTATATAAAAACTATATACAATAAAATATCTATTGTGACGTCAAATCAAATCAAATATGTACAAATTATTTATAATACTTTCAGTAAATAACACAAATTATTTGATAATATTTATGTCAATTATTAGTAATTTAGAACAATAATGCATTTTATATAATAACAATATAAGTCACAGCTTCGAAATATAAAAAAAACTTATATAACATAAAGTAACCTTTTAAGATTTCAAGCCACGCCATAACTTACAGGTCCCACAAAATAAAAGCTTATAAATTAATATATTTTTCGATAGTTCCATCAAAAATTATATTCTAAATTGTAATTTTATTCCACGAAATATATTTTTCATGGATTATTCTTTCGTTCCGTTGTTTCCAATCCGCCGCCCACATTTTAATTTGATTAGAGCTCACTCACCTGAGCTACGTCACAATTGGATTTACAGATTATACAACTTCATATATGAAAACAAAACATTTCTTATTATACAAAAAGTAGGTATAATGGTTTCGTTTTTATTGTTTTAGTTATTATTAAATTAATTAATTAAATATAGTCAGATTGAAAAGGTACGCAAAAAAGGTATGTGATATTTATTCATCAAACATCATTTAGCGCCATCTAGTTTTTTAATTGTAAAACTTTTGACTTAGTTCATAATAATAATAATGAGTTTTATTTACATTTTCTAAGACAATCATTATTTTTGCATGCGTGTTCATTATTGCAATATATTTATTTTATTATCTACAATTATATTCCAAGTTTATAAATGATAAAATTTGGTATAAATGTTGATGAAAAATTCTAAAATGTTATTTAAAAACTACTGGTTAATGTAAGGTTATAAATAGCTCCTATTTGTATTCATTTCTTACTTAAATGGTAATAATGATTTTAAACCCTTCTTAGTGCAGAAGGAGGAGGAGGAGGAGGAATATTTTATTATCTTTCTATACATATTATTTACAAACAGTCAAGATTTTATCGCCACATACATCTATCAAATGACAATAAACTTTTTGTTACTTTCTGAACAAATATTAACACAATAGCTAACGTTTTTATGTGAGAAAACCGTTTATTGCAGTGTTAAATTAAGAAACGTCATAATATTTTATCCATTGATAATTCAATTTCATGAATTATATGGAAAGACGGAAAGTTTTCTTTAAAATATTTTAACTACTAATATACATATCAAATAATATTTAATAAATTATCAAAATTACTTTCAAACTTGATACAAATTTAAAATAAACCCATTTTAAATATGAACAAAGTGTTTCATTTATTCACCTATAATTGTATTGTAATTAATAAATAAAAAACAAGCCAGTAATTATTTATTTAATCGTAATAATTACATTAATCACATGTTACACTTCCCGCGTGTCCGTAAAACACTTCCTTTACAATAAATCTTTAAATGGCCAAAGACCATGAGTCCAATATAGTGTTGCCAGTATAAAAAATATTCTTGAAACTTCTCGTAAACATCACAATAATTTAAATAACCATAAATTTTTATAAACATAATATATGTAGGAAGTCACATTACTTTAAAAAAAGGTTTTAATTTATACACCAATTATTAATAATCATCCTACGAGTTAATTAGTTAGATTATTTTTCGTGTTATTTGATAACAAATGTCTTGTTGTTATTGTAATTAAAATAGTTCTTTATTGGTTTTTTATATAGAGACGAAACCTCTCATCATTCAATGTATTCACGGTGCGTGTAAGGTCCATAGTTGTAGTGAGAGGAGCTTCAACAGTGACTGGGACTTGTGACCCAGGTGTAGGTTTAAAAGACCCTATATAATTAAATCTTATTTCATAATTAAATCCATTTCACCTTCCTAGAATACTTTCTCTCATTCGTCTCTCAACCCTTTTATATAATCCGTACGTATATATAAGTTCGATTAAAGGTATGAAAAAACTAATAAAACAACGCTTACATATTACATAAGAACTTATTACATATTTCGTTTATTGCGAAACAATAAGAAGCCATATTGGATTATGTAAGCCCGCGACCCGAATTACAGACATCATAATGGGATTAAAAGGGCCAATGTCAAAATAACGAAAAAAATACTTTGTCATTCTGACTTTTTGACATTTCATTTTCGTTTATACAGTTAACGAAATGGTCTGTATTATACAGCCACATAAAAATAATTATGACAAAAATAAAAATAATTCTAGTGTTGTTTGAATAGATAATAAATTAATATTTCCGGTTTTAAATAACTAAGAAGTTATAGTTAAGAAACTAAACAACATCATTATCGTTTGGATTTTGAACTTAAAAAAGTTTTTTGTTTTGTACGGAAGAACAAGTACTTTAATCTATGCCATTATTCCTTCGATCTACAAAACATATGTATATTTTTCTCTTTTTGAATATAAAAACCAAAAAGTTTTACATTAATATGTTCAAACGAATTCCATTTTATTTAATTACTTCTTATCTCATTATTTATCACACACATTAAAATAAGTTTCAATAATATAAATCAGATACGATCTTTAAGAGTCAAAATAAAATTTTAAATGCAATAATAACATTTTTAAAAGATATAAATTATAATTTATTTACTTGTTACAACTAATTACATTACAAATAAAAGAAAATTGTTTTTTTTAATAAAAATCTAGGGCATGTGGCAATACTAACAAAAAGTATAATTTGAAATGTCAAACTTGTTTGAAAGAGAAATCTATTCGTTTGCCTTTTAATTATATTTTTCTAACTGATGCTATCAATTGTGTTTTAAGAGTGATTTCAATAAGATTTTGTTCCAGTTTTTATATTAGTAGACTTA